GTTTTCGCCACGTTTTTTTTTTAAACATCATTGTGAAGGTGAATTCTATCCTTTTTTATCAACAGGTTTGTTTCGCATGTGTTGAGGGAGAAGAATTCCGTTTGGCCCAAATGTGTGGACTTCACATCGTGGTCCACGCCGATGAATTAGAAGAATTAATAAATTTCTACCAGAATCAAGGCTACTTTGAAGAGCTCATATCCCTGATGGAGGCCGCTTTGGGCCTGGAGCGAGCACATATGGGCATGTTTACAGAGTTGGCAATCTTGTATTCCAAGTACAAACCCACTAAGATGAGGGAACATTTGGAACTCTTTTGGTCTAGAGTTAATATTCCTAAGGTGAGTGCTTGAGATATGGTATCTTTGTCACTGTCACGGAGTACTTATCGCTTCTCAGCCTTGGAAGACATCAGACCTTATTGTGTGACGCCTTCTGTTATGGTTTGTCGTCACCAAGTGGCTCCTCGATGATTCATTTGTGTTGGTTGGGAATTTTGGGTATTAAATAATCCATCTGGGCCCTGTTATTCAAAGGGCGGATGACGCTTTCCAACGGATACGTCGCTATATAGCGGGTAAATGTCAATAAAATTTGCTGCGCTATCCACCGGTTAAGGAATTATCCACTGGATTATGGTTACCCTCTTGCTACATTTACGGTGCTGTTGACGAGGTTTTTTTTAACACCCTTTGTATTTTTCTGGTAGGTTCTTCGCGCAGCCGAGCAAGCTCATCTGTGGTCAGAGCTTGTGTTCTTGTACGAAAAATACGAGGAATACGACAATGCAGTACAAACCATGATGACTCACCCAACTGTGGCCTGGAAAGAGGCTCTGTTCAAAGATGTCATCTGTAAAGTGGCGAACATTGAATTGTACTACAAGTCCCTGCAGTTCTACCTGGATTTCAGGCCAATGTTGATAAATGATCTCCTTATGGTGCTCACTCCACGTATGGACCACACCCGCGCCGTGAATTTCTTCAAGAAGGTACGTGAAACAAGTCACTTTCCGGCGTTCGGTGATTTTACTCAGCTAAACCCTGGACCAATTGAATTCGGTAATCGAAGAATGAAGTTTTTGGTTAGTTCATGTAATAAGTTGGTCGAAATCGATGGAACAAAGTTGGTAAAGAAACTGTTGCACTGTGTCGGCTGGTAGGTGAAACACGAATGGATTATTAACAGGAGTGAATTTTGATTGTTTGGCCTTTGTCGGAATCGAGGGCCAAGCGCAGCGCTTTGTCAAAACGGACAAAATAGGAACCTTAACCGAACCACGACGGCTACAGCAACAAGATCGTACCAAACAAGAGATCCAGCCATTTTGCGAAATTAATTAAAGATATGAGTTTATTTTTTAATCGACATTTTCCTCGGTGTTTTCGTCCTTACTGCTTAAGGTCCCTAATAGCTGCTTGGATGTCACTACTAAGATGGCCACTCCTGTTTAACCTAATCAAACACAACCGAGTCAATGCCTTGGGTGACTTTAAGAACAAAGTTGATAAAGAAATTGTCCTTTCATTACGGCTTGTTGGTTCGTTCCTAACAAAGTTATCTTGGATTAAAAATAGTTGGAATCCTTTCTCGGTTTCCATTGTGAATGTATCGTACAGCCGCCTGATTGTTTTGATATCATGTTGGTTAGTCATTTCTGTCGGGTTGGGTATAACTTAATTTTTCTTGTCTAACTCTACTGAGTTTTTTGTCTGGTTTGGAAATTTTCAGGTAAATCACTTGCCTCTTGTTAAGCCGTACTTACGATCGGTGCAAAGCCACAACAACAAGGCTATAAACGAGGCTCTGAATGATCTGCTTATTGAAGAAGAAGACTACAACGGCCTCCGTGCTTCAATCGATGCCTTCGACAACTTCGATAACATTGCGCTGGCCCAGCGACTTGAAAAACACGAGCTGATCGAGTTCCGCCGCATTGCAGCGTACCTTTACAAGGGCAACAACCGCTGGCAGCAGTCTGTGGAACTGTGTAAGAGGGACAAGCTTTACAAGGTGTGTTCTCGGAAAGAAGTGTCTTGTTTTAGTTTTTCGCAGGGGCGAGTTGATGCTAAGCGGTTTGCTGCAGTGCCTGTAGAACTGACGCTACTCTCAAGTGAGTTAGTTGAAGACACGGTGATCCGGTGGTCTAGGTTCTAGCCTGGCCTTACGTAACTTACTTAATGTTTTATTTATTTTAACGTACTTAATATTTTATTTATTTTTGTTTTATAAATTACTTCAAATGTTCTATCTCTTTTTTGGTTCTTTTGTTTTTGTTTCTCCAAGTTTCCTCGCGAGCAACAGGACCTCACAAGTAGGTCTCGGCTTCTACCCATTTCCTGTAGAAATAAAAATGTACCCATTTCTTATATAAGTAAGGGATTTTGTTGGTATTGTTACTGATTAGTCGCCTCTGTGCTTTTCTAGGACGCCATGTTGTACGCTGCGGAATCTCGAAACAACGCCACTGCAGAAGATCTGATTCACTGGTTCCTAGAAATTGGAAACAATGAGTGCTTCGCAGCCTGCTTGTTCATGTGCTATGATCTCCTCAGTCCAGATGTTGTATTAGAGCTCGCCTGGAGACACAATCTTATCGACTTTGCAATGCCCTACATGGTGCAGGTCTTTAAGGAATATATAGACAAGGTATGTGGGCTCCACTGAGGCATCTTTTACAACTATCTTTGCATTCGCAAGGCGAGAGACACGGCATGATGTCATGGCTTGTGCAATGAACTCCTTGGTCAAGCCCCTGGCGGATGATTTTGTTGTGTTGCTAAGTAGGGCACTTTGCTTTGCTCACATTTAAGGTCTGTCAGCTATTTGTAATCTGTGGTAAGATAAAAAAAAAAAAAAAAGAAAGTGGCATTCAAGGCGTAGTCGAGTGTGTCACTGATTTGTTAACTACATTTAGACATCTTTGATTTGTTACTGTACTGACCCACGACATAACGGAACATCATGGAATCTATTTGTTTTCTATGATAAAAAAAAAAGAAAAATGTTTTTATTGGTGACATCACCTATGCATCTGTCCGCCAATAGATAAAAAATAAGAACCAATCAATTTTCTTGTATCGTATGCATGGTTGTGCATAGTAAACTGGCAAGGAGAAACTGATCAGATGCACGGATTGAACTTAAGTAAACTGGCAAGCCACATCAGAGCCGCACCAATCATGGGCACGTTACTGCTAGGGGCTCTAGTAGCGAGGGCCACTCAGTTCGTGTGCAGAATTGACATTACTCAGCAAATTTGCCATCGGATTTCCGTTTTGTGGCCTTAACAGGTGAACAAGCTAGCAGTTTCTGAAGCTGAACGCAAAGATCAAGAGGAGAGCAAGCAGGATCAGCCCATCGTTTTCGGTAGGGTACCAGTCTTTCTTGTTTCCTCTTTTTTTTTTGTCTCTTCCGTTATATCCTTCCAGGCTTTTTGTGATTACTTTAGCACGAGAGTACAGCACTCCATCAAAATACGCACTGAGCTTTGCTCCTGGTTGATTCACTAAGTGCCTGAACGATATCTGAAGTGCCTGGCTCTTAAAGAGCTTTCATTAAAGCAAAGTCATCCGAGGCGCCCGAAGACAAAAGTGATTTTCCTGCGGCACTTGGGAGCTTCTAGAGCACATGCCTTTTTCAGGTCTTCTAAAAACATACATTGATTTGTGTTCTGCCATCCTTACAGGTGCCGACCAGTTAATGATCACAGCAGGCCCAAGCATGGTACCCAATATGCCTCCTGGTGTAGTACCAGGCATGCAGCCCCAGCAGTACCCCGGAGGGTATCAGATGCCCCCAGGCCCGGGTTATATGTGACGAGATAATTACAGAAAGAAAATTAGTATCGAACCTGAATAGCTAGGCCCTATATTTCAATGGCGTTTTTTTATATTCTAGTCTGGCTAATTTCTTGCTATGTAACTTAAAATTGTGAATTCATCTAGGACTGAAAACTGAGGAGCCATTCAGTCGAATTGTCGCCGTATTATGGAGTAAGTGGTAGAATTAGTCAATGGTGAAGTGATTGCCCGTATACTTTTAATTGACTTCCTCTATAGAGTTTGTTTGGTTTGATTTGATAGACTCCTAGCATGCCAAACCTACGTATATATGTATGTATGGGTAATAAAACACCATTCATTTCATTATCAGTTGTTTCTTTATAGGGGAGAATAAGTTCAACGCACGTTGCTTCCCAGGTGTCTGTGGGAGCCTTATAGTTGGTGCGCTGTACTCAGGGTTCGAGACCTGGTGCCCGTTTCTCGAAAGTCCCGGTATATAACGGCCCCGAAGCTGTATTTTAGAATCGAAATTTAAAGAATAGAGAATCAGGTTGTGGCTCCGTGACCAATTCATTTTGTTTCTTTCGCCGAAGGATTTAACGGGCCCAATAAGTAACCTGGGGCCCGTTTCTCGAAGGTCTTGGTAACTTAACGGGCCCGTTAAGCTGTTCTGTTTTCATTCAAGGTGGGGGTTTCCAGCGTTTTGAAAATTATACGATGAAACTAGCAGCTAAAGAAACAAAAAGAACTGGTTAGGGTGTCAGAGCCTGCTTCTCTATTGACTAGCTTTTGATTTTAAAATATGGCTTCGGGTCCGTTAAGTTACGGGGACCTTCGAGAAACAGGCCTCGGGACCTTCAAGAAACGGGCCCCTGAGCGGGTCCTTGTGGTTTGTGTTCTTGGGCAAGGCACTTTACTTTCACAGTGCCTCTCTCTCTACACCCAGGAGTATCAATGGCTGCCAAGAACCATCTGGGAACCATCTAATGAAATGCAGAAGGGGGGAGGGGGTAATCTTGCCGTGAACTGGTATCCCATGGGGGGGGGGGGTAGTAATAATAATCCAAGTAACTTCATCCTGTGGAAACCGTCATTGGAGACAACTACATTCTATGACCAGTTCTTCTATCTTTGCAACAAAGTCTTGTTTTCTGTCCTTCGATGTGTCATAGATAATGGGGTGTTTCAAACCAATGTGCGCATGGATAGAGTTCAGAAGCTCTACTTCATCTTCGAATTCTTCCCATTTAACTCCCCCTGCTTCCTCTTCTTCTGAAGGTGTTGAATGTTTTCGAGTGGACGCGAGCCTGGAGAAGAAGCTTTTTATCTGCCTTTCTTTTAGCCATTTCTCCATTGAGAAAAGTCTCTACCCTTCCTTGTTTCTTGCACGTCGCATATCTTCTTCAACTTCTCTTGGAGGCAGTTTGTTACCAGTCGCTATCCCAAAGTCAGACTTTGTCGTTAGATAGGCCTTTACATGCCCTGCAAAACGAATATTCCTTCAACTTGTTGCCAAGGCCCATTCTTCACACAATTCTGAACAACTGCCAAACAGTAGGTCCTTTTGCT